TGGCATTTGTTTTCATTCCTGTTTACTCTATTTTGGCATCAAAAATGTATCTTTGGGGCTGCGGTGAGAGAGGAGGTGAGAGGAACTAGAGTGGGCCACAGCGCGGACTCCGTGATGTCTCATCCAATTTAACCCCACTCTGCTGCTTCTTCCCTCGTGTCTGTACTATGAGTGGACCCTGGGATTCCAGCCGAGCCTCGAGTCAACCCTAATTAGAAGGAATCAAAGAGTATAAGGCCTATTTTTAAAAAATGAGCAGTGGGCTTTTGAGTGGAAGAAGAATCTCAGGGTCCACACCATCGAATCCCCTCTCTCCAGGAACACTGTGGTCTCTGGAGATGAAGGGAGCTCTCGATTGGGAATGACCCAGGGATTCGTAATGAGACACAAAGGGAAAATAAAATACCATGTGACGATGGAGGCAGAGATGGGAGCACTGGGTCTACAAGCCATGCAATGCAAATGTTGACTGACCATCCTCAGAAGCTAGAAAGAGGTAGGGACGGATTCTTCCCTAGAGCTTTGAGAGAAAGCATGGCCCTGTTGACATTTTGATTTTGGACTTTTAGCCTCTAGGACTGTGAGAATAAATTTCTGTTGTTTTAAGCCAAAAACAAAAAAATCTAAAACCCAAACCCACCAACCAAACAAACAACTATTCATGATGGGTTGGCTTCGTAGTAGCACCTGTGCTAAGGCCTGGGGATATCAAGGTCCATGAGACTCAGCCTTTGCCCTTGAACAGGTGACATTCCAGAATGAAAACAGGTATGAAGAGATAACTTCAATACTGGCCTCTGTGGATTGAGATGGGCAGCCAGGGCCATCTACCCCCGAGTCTTGGTCAAGGTTGGGCTGTAGTCAGGGATTTGGAGCAGTGTTGGTTGGTAAGTCAAATCTATCCTCAACTTTCTTTTCCTCCTCTTCCCTTTAAAAAGTTTTCAAACCGCATTCTACATAAAGCATATATTATTTGTTTCTTTAAACAGCTTTATTACATAAATTTATGTGCCATATGACTTACCCATTTAAAGTATACAATTCAAGGGTTTTTAGCATATCCACAGAGTTGTGAAACTATCATCACAATGTAATTTTAGAGTATTTCATCACTCCACAGTCATTACCCACTGCTCACCTTTACTCCCCTAGCTCTAGGCAGCTACTAATCTACTTTCTGTCTCTACAGATTTGCCTATTCTGGGCATTTCATATAAATGGATCCATGCAATATTTGATCTTTTTTGACTGGCTTCTGTCACTTAGCATAATGTTTTTAAGATTTGTCTAGTTTACAGCATATTTCAGTACTCTTATCCCTTTTATTGTACATAGTTTAGAAACTAGAGAAAAGTACAAAGAAGAAAAGTAAAGAATCATACCCAGAGATAACCATTGTTAAAATCTTGGTGTGTTTCCTTCTCACCTTTTTGTTGGTGTGATTTGATCTGCTTGCATGGGTGTATGTAGGTGTTTGCGTGGATACTGTGTTAAGATAAAGACAGATAAAGTTTTATGCCCTGCTTTTGGCACTTAGCCATATTTCAGAGTGTTTTCTCATGTCATTAATATTCTTTGAAAACATTATACCTATACATTATTCCATCATACAAATTCACTATATATCATTTAACTATTTTCTTATTATTGGGTATGTAGGTGATTTGCCATTTTGGCTCTCGGAACTCTAATGTTTTTTAAAAAAGAGGATAGATTGTCCTATCCCCCCAACAAGCTGCCTTCTCTCCTTGGGAATTTCTCTTGCATTACAAAGAACATTAGCCCTTCACTGAATCCAGTCTGAAAATCACGACCAGTTTAGCAAATATTAGAATAACTGAAGTTACCCAGTATTGGTGAAGATGTGGGGAGATAGGCATGCGATTTGTGGAAGTGTAAATGGATGCAAATTTCTGGTGAGTATCTGGCAAAAATATTTTAAACATTCACACACTTGACCCAGCAAGTCCACTCCAGAAATTTATTTTAAGGAATGATCAGTCAAGATCAAACCAAGGGTTCGTATCTTGGTCACATCTTCCTGCACGTAGGATGTTCTACATATGAGCTCTAACACATTTACTATTAATTGAGGCCTTTACTGTGTATCAGGTGTTTTACATGTATTATCTCATTTAATTTTTCAAATAGAGTCTGTTTTTTAGACCAGTTTTAGGTTCACAGCAAAATTAAGCAGAAAGCACAGAGTTCGCATACAGGCCCTGCTGCCCCCCACCAGCATGCATAGGCCCTCACCCCCCTCCTCAGACCCCCCGCTGTGGCCCCCATCAACTCCTGCATATTTGCCTGAATGGTGCATCTGTTACAATGTTACAACTGATGAACTGCATTGACGCATCACTACTCGAAGTCCATAATTCACATCAGGCTTCACTCTTGGGCTTGTATAATCTCTGGCTTTTGACAAATGTATAAGGACATATACCCACCATTATAATATCATACAGAATAATTTCACTGCCCTAAAATTTCTCTGTGCCCTGCCTAGTCATCCCTTTGGGTCCCTTAACGCTGTCAACCACTTATCTTTTTATTGTTTCCTTGGTTTTGTCTTTCTCAGAATGTCATACAGTTGGAGTCATACCATATAGTCTTTTCTTATTGGCTGCTTTTACTTAGTAACATGCATTTCAGTTTCCTCCATGTCTTTTCCTAGCTTGATAGCTCTCTTTTTTTAAAGCACTGAATCCTATTGCATTGTCTGGATTCATCACACTTTATCCATTGACCTACTAAATGTCTATTTTGGCTACTTCTAAGTCTTGGTAATTATGAATAAAGCTGCTATAAAGATTAATATGCAGGTTTTTGTGTGGACATAAGTTTCCAACTTATTTGGGTAATTACCATGGAGCATGATTGCTGGATCATATGGTAAGAATATGTTTAGTTCTATAAGAAACTGCCAAACTGTCTCACACAGTGGCTGTACCATTTTGTGTTCCCATTAGCAATGAAGGAAGGGTCCTGATGCTTCACATTCTTGCTAGCATTTGGTGTTGTCAGTGTCTGGGATTTTCTCCATTCTAATAGATATGCAGTGGTATCTCCATTTTAATTTGTAATTCTCTAATGACATGTTATGTTGAGCATCTTTTCATATGCTATTTTGCAATCTGTATATCTCTTTGGTGAAGTGTCTGCTAAGGTCTTTTGCCTGTTTTTATATCAGGTTGCATTCCAATTTGAACATTTTTAGGAGTTAAGAGATTTCTTCTGAGATTTACTATGCATCTCTTCAGGTCACTGTGGGCATTGTTTTCCATGTTTCTGAGCAATGGAGAACAGCCTTTTGGCATTATCTTGATAATATCCTTGTGCTCGCTTCAGCAGCACATATACTAAAATTGGAACGATACAGAGAAGATTAGCTTGGCCCCTTAGGATTTTGGATCTAGCCCTCCGAACCCAGAAGGAAAAGCAACATAAAAATAACACACATGTGTCCAAGACCTAAAAGGAGCACAATTTTCACCAAGATAAATGTACTTAGGGAGAACTTATACCTATTAATATATTTTCTTGTAAAGTAAGCTAACTCCATTGCCTGTACACCAACTTGCTTTAATACCATATACCAAAGTGATTTATTTCACTTTTACCTCCAAGCAATCTGGAATGACTCCACCAGGTCCTCAATGGGGATTTCACGGTTGAAGAGACGATCTTAAGCAGGCCATTATGCCTGGTTTGATGTCCCTTTAATAAGGGAAACTTGGGGGAATTTTGTAACATGTTCACTTGCCAGCGTGAAAGCATGAAAAAATATTTGATTTATGAGATCGTGGTGGGGTGGTTGGAGGGGGGGATGTTATCCTACTAATGTTTTCTCTGGTTTCAAGACTTATCTCTAAAGCTGTTGATTTATTATTATTATTATTTTTTAACCACAAGGAACAATCTGGCACTGAGATGTTCTCATTTTATTTCTGATATGAAGAGAATAATGAGACCCAAATTATTGACTTAACACACAAATGCAAGGTGTCTGAGACATTATTCTATGATCTAGAAGTGCAATTCCAGGGAATGAAGTTCTAGAAAGTTCTAGAAGCCCACCATCTGTGGTGCTGATCCCTGGAGGGTGTAGGGGCTTGAGGGCTGGGGAAGAGGTCAGAGGACAGCCCAGACTGTCTAGGTATGGGCCATGCTCTGTGAAGCGGCTAGTGGTAGAGTTCTCTCATGAGTCTGTCCACTGTCTGAGGCCATGTTCTTGGGGACTCCTGGGTAACAGAATATTTCTCAGACTTTAATCCCTGCAGTCAGTTTAGCTCTTTAGTACTTTGTTGAGAAAGCCTACATGTATCTAGTAAAAACTATCCAATATGACCAAAATAAAGATATTTCCTTTCTTATTTACTGAAGAACTGGGACAATTAATTTTGATTTGTTCCCAGAGTCCCTGAATCTGTATTATCTTGAAACTTTCTTTTTGCTACTTTTCTTAAAAGTCATTGCGCCACATGGAACAGACATTAGTCAGTGTGCCATAAGTTCCTGTGACATCCTAGGTCATGACCATGAATATTTTAGACTTTCATTTGTTCTTCTGTTCTTTCATGTCTCTGGCCTTGGTTCTGTGAATCAAAGTAAAAAAAAAAATTCCCAAGGCCCTTGCAGCAGGGCATGCATTAGGCAACACCAAGGTCAGCCTTGTCCCATAGTCCTCTTGATCTTATGAATTTGTATGGTCTGAATGTGTACCCCCACATTCACATGTTGAAACTTAATCACCAATTAAGAAGTCAGGCCTTCAGGAGGCCTCATGAATGAAATTAGCAACCTTAAAAAAAAGGCTTAAGGGAACTAGTGAACCCCTTCCCTCCTTTCTGCCAAGTGAGGACACAGTGTTCGCCCCTCTGGGGGGTGTAGGAACAAGGGGCCACCTTGGAAGCAGAGAAGAGACTCACCAGACACAGAACCTGCCGGTCCTGGACTCTTCAGCCTCCAGAATGGTGAGGAATAAATTTCTGTTGTTTGTGAATTTCCCAGTCTCAGATTTTTTTTATATATATATTTTAAAACACCTTTCTTGATATGTTGGTGGCATTTAGGAGGGAGCACAGCTAAAAGTATGTGCTCATTTAAGTCTCAGATATTTTGTCACAGCAGCACAAACAGACCAAGACATGAAGCTTCCATCTTTTCCAAGACATATGTTGCTAGTCAATCAGTGTGCTGAAGGTCATCTTCGAGGCCCATGGTCATGTAGGCCTCCTATCCCACAACGCAGCTGTGACTGCTGTGTCAGCTGAACAGTTGTCCCTAGATATGGCACTTTCTCAGTATGTCCCTAAACTTTCAGCACAAGTACTCTATCCTTGCTGCTAACTAAATTAAAGACCTTTCCTTGGCCTCAAACTATCAGTCCACCAATGCAGGGACCAACTTGAGACCTGAATAAAGTGTTAGGGTCCGACACTGGGATCCCTTTTCCTTTTACCAACCCATTAACAAGGACATCAAACTTAGGCTCCTGAGCCTCTTTTCAAAGATCAGCGTTCTGCAAAATATTCATTACTCTTCTAAGTATTCTAACTACACTAGCTTTCCTTTCCTTTCATCTGGTTGGCCTATGCTTCACTGTTTGATAGATAGAGATGTTTGATAGATAGATACATTGTTGAGGAATGTTTTATATACATAGCTCTTCTGTCTAGAGTGCAAAGGTCCATAGCTATTTCAAAGAGATACGTAGGGGATGTAAATAATATAACCCAATAGGTGTTTCAGCCACTGTTGATCTGCCCTTTTGAGATCTTTTATTTCAGAGGAGGATTTTAGGCAAGAGAACAACACATACAAGTCAGCAAAGCAAAGAAGAACCTGGGATATTTGAGGAAGATGGGTTTGGAGGGCCTGAAGCACCGGGGTGGAGGGTTTGAGGGCATAAGGCATGAGCCGCTTCATAGGATGGGTCCAGGCAGGGTGGTATTGCACACCATGCTGTGAGTTTGTCTTCCTCCTGTGAGCGACCTCAGCAGTCTGGTTATTAGCTCTTACAATCTAGAGAACTGGATCAGGTCCTGACTGATCTCAGCAATCGACCGGCAGCCTAAAAGAACAATGCAGTTAAAAGCTCATTTCTCTAAAACACCAGCAACCTGCCCCATCATGGCTATGTGACGATCCAATGGGAACAAACCTGGCTTGAGTTTTTGCACTCACTCTGATGAAAGAGTTTCTACAGAGAATAAGTACTGTAATTCTGATTGCACTGGGAATTACCTTATGAGCCTGTGCCCACGTCATCTTTGAACACAGTCATATCAAAATGTCAAGGTAAAAATGTAAAAACACTTTTAGTATTTTTAAATCAACTCTTGTGTACAGTACACATCCTTGATCTTTATCTCAGTGTTGTTGAGGCTCTGGGATGGGGGAAGAATCTCTTAGGGAGCAATATGACTGAGGGGCAGCGGAAGAGATGGGTGAATATTCCATATAACAGCTACCTTCTAAGCAAACGTTCTGTCAAGGGAAAAGACTCTTCTTTAGCAGAAGATCTTAATTAATATGCCAAATGAAGACTGTAGCTGAGATTGGACACAGGGATTGAAGAGGGTAACTCCAGATAAGAAGTAAAAAGAGAAGGGAGAAAGAAAGAGCTAGCATAATGGTATGGGCTGGGAGGTTGGCCCGAGCAGGCAGTGAGAAGGCTGAAAAATGTAATAACAGCCTGTATAATGTTTAACCGGAAGTTCTTTCCATGTCTATGTTGTATGTACCATAACTTGGGCAAAATGTATTATCTATAAAAATGTAACTAACGAGAGAGGGTCTTTTCTTAAACATAGAGACACAGGAGAGGGTTGAGTTTCATGTCTGGGTTGACAGGAGTGGACAGAAACAGCAGGCGTGGAATAAGTAAATTTGGTAGAAGCAGGAGTTCAGAGCCGGAGGTATTCCTCCCTGGAACTGATAATGACCCTGAGGAGGGCTTTGAGTTTCCACTGAGCACAGAACAGTGCTTAATCTTTGTCTCAGATATGTTTTCCCTATTCTCTCTTCTGGACAGCTACAAAGCTTGGAAAGGCTTAGTGAGAAGAAAAGGCTGCTGTTCGTGTTCATTAGCCCTCCTATAATACTTTAAGCTCCAAATTAGGAAAAAAAAAAAACTTTAAAACCTTACCTGCAAGGGTCATGGAAGCGTGGAACTCATTTTTTAAAATGTTTAAAATTTCTCTAACACCATCTTCACCCTGCTCCCAAGACAGACGGACAGACAAAGAAAGAGAGAGACAAAAAGAGCTGTGAAGGAACAGTCTGACCATCGGCTGAGTATAAATTCTAGATGTAGTCAGAGCGGTGGTGGGGAGGGTGGGGGCTATCTGTGAAGTTAAAATCATGGTGAAAATAAAGGAAAGAACAGAGAAAAAGGTAGGGGTAAGAGCTATCGCAAGGAGATGGGGGTGAGGTGCAGCTGTCCTGCGGGAATCTTGGCACCTTGCAAAATGGCTAAGCTTGGAGAGTGACCCACAGAAAAGCATGGAAATGAGTGAGAAGCTTTCAGTAGGTTCCCAAGTTCCACTCTCACCTTGCAGGCAAGACCCCATAGGATCGGTCTCCCAAGGAAGATGCACTTAGCCCCCAGGGCCAGAGCCTTCAGCACGTCGTTGCCAGTTCGGATGCCACCATCCAGGTACACTTCCATTTTCCCGTTCACGGCGGCCACCACTTCCATCAAAGCATCGATCTGGAAAGGAGATACGCACAGGCTGGCGGCTTTCTGGTTTGACTCTCAGCGTGGGGTAGGACCAGGAGTCCAAGCTGGAGGGAAGCCTGGATGGTTTTTTCCTTCCCGTGCTTGAGGCTGCTGGCGCTGATCCATGGCAGCTGAGTCCACATTTCTGAGACCTGGGGTGTCTCTTGGGCTCTCCCTCCTGCCGTTTTCTGCTTTGACTCTAGTCTAGCTTCTCTCTGACTCACTTAATTGTCTACAGGTTGGAAGAACTGTTTGGTTCCTCTTTACATCCTAAAGGGGATGTTTTTCATTTATAATGCTTACTCTAACATGCTTCTTTTCAAACAACATTTTGACTTTTAATGTTCTTCTGCCCTAGGGTGGCACCTGTCTCTATGGTGCCACAGCTGGAAAAGTGCTCCACTGCTAAGGAACTAAGTCTTTTTGGCCTGAGTGTCTAGACGGCAACCTGACTTGGGAAACGGGGCTGCACATCATTTCCTTTGCACCACTTGACTGACTTGTCCCTGAGTGCCTTATGTTTATCTGTGCAGTGAGATAGCGCTGGAACAACAGCATTGTAAAAGTAAAGTTTAAGCCCTTGAAAGGCAAAATAGAAGGGGCTTATCACTTTGGCCTTATTTCTCCTTTGGACTTTGTCTCTTATCTTGCCTCTGTAATTCCAGGTGTGAACTAAAATAAAATCTTAAGGCTCCCCACCACCGGCTGGCTGATCGGATGGCTTACTAAAGGAATGTTTACGCATACATTGTTTTCATGATATCATAAAAATATTTCAAATAATACCATGCCTGGACTATAAAAATACCCCTTATTTGGACCTGAATTCCCTCTAGTTATTACATGTAAATTCAAAACATAGCCAATTCCTCCCCTCCACCTGTAACTTAATTATTTTTTTCAAGAACTGGTTCCATAGTATCCACTTGCAAATTAAAGTAAGACATGGCCAAAGGCCACTTGAATCTTGGCCAAAGGAATATCCTAAAACTCAATTGCCTGCCAGGAGGAGGGAGGTCAGACATGGCTCATCATGCCCCCCTCCCTTCTTGGGGACATCCTCTACAACCCATTAACAGGCCAAAAGGTATGCAAGACAAACCTGCAGGTCCTCAATTTACACAGCAAATATATGTCCAGTGGCTTGTCTCTGGTTAACAGCTCCTTAGGTTAAAACATTCCAAGCCTTTAGACAAAGCTGTGTGTCTTTAACCAATTATAAGCCAAAGAATATTTAAACCCACCTATAACCTGTAAGCCTCTGCTTCTGGATGGCCCACCTTTTCGGGTCAAACCAATGTATGTCTCCCACGTGTTGATATATCATTTTACCTGTAACCCCTGTCTCCCTGAAATGTACAAAACCAAACTATAACCCAACCACAGCGAGTCCACTTGCTCAAGACTTCTTGAGTGTGGCTCCAGGTCATGGTCCTCAAATTTGGCTCAGAATAAATCTCTTTCAAATTATTTTACAGAGTTTGCCTTTTTTCCCCTCATTAACACAGGTCACTAGGTCTTGGCCACCTAGGGTGTGCCCCAGGCTGATCCATGCTTTTCTGGGCACCTCCAAGTCTGTAAGGGGGAGTGATAGCAGGACCCTCCTGGAGGAGGTTCTGGAACTGCCTATGGGTTCCTGTCTGTGCTTCTCTGAGGGATGGCCAGAGGAGAGGAGCTGAAATTGGGCTATAGAGGGGGCCTTTTGCTGTCAAAGGAATCCATCATCATTCTTCCTGATTGAGATCCTTTGGCTGAGACGGAGCAGAGTAAGAAACTAGGGAGGAAAGCACTTCTTACTTTAATTTGCAGGTGGATACTATGGAACCGTTCTTGAAAAAAATAAAAAAAGAATTAATTTACAGGTGGAAGGGAGGAATTGACTATGTTTTGCATTTACATGTAATAACTGGAGGGAATTCAGTTCCAAATAAGGGGTGTTTTAATAGTCCAGGCATGGTATTATTTGAAATATTTTTATGATATTATGAAAACAATGTATGTGTAAACATTCTTTTAGTGAGTCATGCTGGACAGCGAAGATGACAATAATTTGAGAAATAGAGTAGGGAGTGAATTTCAGCTTAGGGTGCAGTACGGCCTCAGAGTTCATTTTTAATAGGTCCGAATATGGCATTCGTTAGTGTCTTCTGGGGACAACAGCTGACTTATCCTTTCCCTGGGTCCCAGGAGGAAGCACAAAGACGACGTTGGATGTGAAACCTCATAGAAGTGGGGGCTTCTTTCAAAAAGTGTCACCCCTCACAGGGCTGACACCAGCCCGAGGAGAGTGAAGCACTTATCTCAGGCACAAAATTTAGGGGGTGCCAAAAACTCAGATAAATGATATTTGAATGCAATATTTTAAAAAAATCAAATGGAAAATTCTGACCTGTGAGTTGGGACTTGCTTTTATGAGTAGTTTTACTGGACCCAGGGCCAGGACTAGGGAGAGGTGCGGCAGGGTTATATAAATGCAGGGGCGGATTCTATCTTTATTTAAAGTGTTGACATTTTGTTCACCATGGATTTTTGTATTAATTTACATTTTTAAAATAATGCATTATAACATTATTTACCTTACTAAGTTTTTCTTGCCATCGTCTTAACCTTTGAGCCTAAGGTTAATATCTCACTAGCCTCACGCTAATCTTGGTGCTGTTCCTGGCTGAATCTGGGTTTGGATGTTCAGCCAAATAATTGGGAAAACAACATGTTGATCAGCATTAAAAGGAGAAATTCTTCTCTTTCAGGCTCCTGACTTAGTCAATACTCACTCTCTATTGAGAAAGCACGATGGGAGAATCAGTCTTCTTTCTCCACTTGTTTCTCAATCCTCCCAAGGGAGCAAGGTTAGCTAAATTGATGAATGAAAACCTGACACCTAATGCATAATGTTTTTATTCATTTTCTTTTAAAAGCCTATGTTCTACCCTGTCTGCTGCTTGTCAGTGGTGGACTCTTTGCTGGTTTCTGCTCCTATGCATGTAGTAAGCACAGTTGGGACAGGGCCTGCTATGTGCTCTTGCATTCTCTGTCCTGCCAATTACTGGACATGTGAGAGGTGGCTGTGGGCGCACTGGCAGGGGTTGGGCTAGAAAGCTCAGCATGTCAGAAAACCACAATGACATATCATTTATCTCCAGTGAGAATGGCCTTTATCAAAAAGTCCCCAAACAATAAATGTTGGCGTGGATGCAGAAAGATAGGAACACTCCACCACTGTTGTGATCTGTTATACTGTGTCTGTTTGTGTGTTAAACAATATGGAGTCTTAATAGGAACAATTCATCTATTGAATCATGCAATCCTTTATCTTGGTGGATGCTATAATGATTTCAATATTATGTAGCAATCAATATATGTACAGTAATCTGAATTGTTGTGTAACCTCTATATCATCTTGCTCTATGGATTACTATTTATATGTTTTTCATGAGTGTGTGGTATTTATATTGTGATTTTTTCGTCTATTTGTTAATTACAATATGATATTATGCCTTTTCCGTAAATTGGTTGTGTAACCCATTCTACTATGTGTGTACTCTAATGTAGTGGTTATATTCATATTTGCACCACATGTACAACCAATTGGATATTTATTGTTATTATGTAAGTGGACATATTTGTTTATATTGGTCTCTGTGTGTGGAGAGGGGGGCATGTTTTAATGTTAATCTAATCTATTTATACCTTAATGTGTATAATATTTAAAAAAATCAGCATGTGAGTTGGGATTGAATTATGTAGTTGTGTCTGTTATAATATCATTAAAAGTTTTATTTTATTTTATTTTGAACAGTAGTCTCGTTGTGCCCAGGCTGAGGTGCCATGCACAGCTAGCTACAGAACCTCAAAACCGCTCAAGTGTGTCTTCCGCCTCCTTGTATATAGCTGGATACAGGCATGCACACCATGTCCTCTGGACTTATAGGGTGAAATTATAGTGAACTGGTGTCTCGCTCTGCTCCTAGGTGTTGATATTCCGATTTTGAGCAATCCGCCCACCTCTGTGTCCCGATGTAGATTACTCATGCTGTGAGCACGGCCTTTTTTTTTTTTCCTGTTGATACTAAGTTGTTTCTTAGTTGTCAATATGGATGTTGTATTGTATTTTTGTTATTTGTTATTATTTATATATATAGGAGTTATGCTTTGTGTGCTCAGGCGGTAGAGGAGTTGCCGTGCGTCAGCCTAGCTCACAGCAACCTCAAACTCCTGGGCTCAAGCAATCTTCCTGCCTCAGCCTCCCAAGCAGCTGGGACTACAGGCATGAGCCACCATGCCCAGCTAATTTTTTCTCTTTATATATATATAGTTGCCAATTAGTTTCTTTCTATTTATAGTAGAGACGGGTCTCTCTTCTCAGGTGGTTTCGAACTCCCAGCTCGAGGCGATCCGCCTGCCTCGGCCTCCCAGAGAGCTATTTTAATTTGATTTTTTACTATTTTTAATTTCTTTTTTCTTTTTTTCATGTACGATATTGTTCTTGCATCTCCACGTGGACTTGCCATTCCTCTACCTGTTCTCTACCACTGAGAGCCTGGCACAGAGGAAGGGGTGAGTGATTGGCACCTTACGCCTCCAGCATTACAAGTCTCAATGTGCAAACTGGATAAGGGCAGATTTCTAATTCTGGAATTTATCTTACAAGAAATAATTGGGAAAGTGCTAAAGATTTACTTTAAGGGTAAGTCACGTTAATACACTTTTAAAAGTAGTTAAAGGATTGGAAATCTGATAAAATACAGATCTTCCACAATAGGAGGCTGGTCGTATATAAATTGACCATTCAGTTCTACACACCAGTTAAAATAAGAAGAGCATAATATTGAAACAAAAAGCACTCTTATATATATTGCTAAGTAAAGAAGGAAATTACAAAATCAGGTTCTAGTTTTTTTAACACAAAAAAGTTATATTTGCATTAGAAAGTTAATGACAACCTTACCAAAATATCTGATGATGTGATAGTGATGAATTAGTGATGATTT